AAAAACCAAACCAAAACAAAACAGAAGTGGAGTGTGGCTTAAGTGGTAGAGTACTAGCCTTGAGCCAAAAGCTCTAGGACAGCACAGAGGCCCTGAGTTCAAGCCCAAGGTCTAGCACAAAAACAAAACAAAACAAAACAAAAACAACACCCAACAGCTCGGCGCTGGTGGCTCACGCCTGTAATCCTAGCTACTCAGGAGGCTGAGATCTGAGGGTAGTGGTTCAAAGCCAGCCCAAGCAGAAAAGTCTGTGAGATTCTTAGGTTCAACTAACTACTAGAAAACCAGAAGTGGTGCTGTGGCTCAAAGTGGTAGAGCACTAGCCTTGAGCAAAAGAGGTCAAGGGCAGTGCCCAGGCCCATGATGGGGAAAAAAAAAAGACGATATTTTATCTGTCCTTATCGTGGTTACATTTCAGAGCTTCAGCTTCAACTGAAAAAGCATCAACTCAAAGAGACATAAGTCACAAGAGGAAGTTGTTAGTTCAAGGAATTGACAAGTCTAGAGATAGGCCCAGCCAATCTTATTAACTTATAAGATTAACTTGTATTTATTAATCAATTAATTTCACTTATTCCACTTGAAGACATTGGGTTTCTTGTCCTCTTCTCACCTCCTCTCACGTTCTGCATCCCTCAATGTGTCTGTTTCATCCTCAGACAGGCTCATGAAAGATGGGGCCCTCTTATCAGTTCAAGTCTGGCAAAATGAAGGGGAAACTTGGCCCTCATTGGACCAATTGAACACATGACCATGGTCAAGGTGGGCCACATGTTCATGCTGAGCTGGAGGAATAGAAGGTAGAGGCAGGGGGAGGAAGGCAGGGGCTTCATCACAACCAGGCAGGGTGTTTCAAACAAAGGAAAACTAGCAGAAAGGAAAGCTGAGCAGGTGGAAAATAACAGATGTTCACTCTCTATCACATTGCTGGGTGAACAGATAACAGTAATAGCTTACATTTATTAAATGCTTATTAGGTACTTGGCACTGTTCTAAGTACCTTATGTATATTAATTCCTTCAGTGCCTCTCAGTTGAAGAGTAAATGCAGTTATCTCCTCACTTTACAAATGAGGAAACTGAGGCATACAGTGGCTATGGTGCCCGTGATAATGCATCTGCAAGCAATATCAGAACCTACTAAACGTGCTTCAGAGCTAATGCCTTTAATCACTAGTCAGTGTAGATGGTGACTTGTGATCTCTGTGTGTGTGTGTGTGGTTAACTTTGCAATAAGGGGCAAGCTATCAGCATTTGGTAGGAACCATAATTTTCAATCTGGATTTTGGGTTGATATTTTCTGGAGATATTGGGCAGGTCTGGGTGAGAGGTAGTCACAGGACCAAGGGGAAAACAAGCAATACTGTGCATTATGCTTATGATATTTCTGACTTATAATGAGTTTATCAGGCTGTAACCACATTGTAGTATCAAGGGACATCTGAACTCTAAACAGGCCGTCTCCTCTTATGCTAGGCTGAATCCAAATATAATCACTGAGATTGGCATTCTAAATATATAATTCCCTCTTCCTGAGAGCCAGTAGGACTTGCAAATGTGGTCACTCCCTTGGTGAGGTTAAACTGTGGCATAGAAGTAGTGGCACAGTCATTCTCAAGAGACCATGGGAGAGGGTTCTCCTGTTGGTTTTGATGAAGTAAAATGCCATCATGTGAGAGAGCCGTGAGGCTTGGACCTCTAGCTGAGGCCAGAAAGAATGAAAACCAGGATCTCAGTGTTACAGCCACAAGAAGCTGAAACCTGCCAATATCCGGAATGAGCTTGAAAGGGGACTTCAACTTCCAGAGGAGAAGGCCTTGATTTCAGCTGCAAACAAAGGATGCAGCAATACTGTGCTTGAACCCAGGACCTCCAGAACTGTGATGTGCACCTGTGAGGGTGATGAGTAGCTAACAGCAGTAGACTTCTCATCTCCCACCAAGGGACAGGCCCCTCCTTCGCATCCCCAGGACCAGCTCTCTCCATGCTACCTGGGAGGGGCCATGTGCTGTAACCACCAGGTGAAGACATGGACTGGTCATTTTTGAGCCACCAGTACTTGAAACAGTATCAGCTATGTATGCTCTGCAAGTCTTGTAAAATGAGGATGAAATTGCATTGTGTAGTATGCCTATAAAACATCTTCCTTCCTTCTTTCTTTCCCCTACCCACTCCACCCTCTTTCCTTTTCTCCCTTCTTTCTTCTTCTTCTCCCCCCTCCTCCTTTTTGCTAGTCCTGGGGCTTGAATTCAAGGCCTGGGCACTTTCCCTGAACTTATTTTGATCAATAGAGCTCTACCACTTGAGCCATGGCTCCTCCTTCAGCTTTTTGGGGGTTTATTGGAGATGAGGTTCGTGGATTTTCCTGCCAGGACTGGCTTGAACTTCAATCCCCAGATCTTAGCCTCTTTAGTGGCTAGGATTTTTTTTTTTTAATAGGAATTGATAGAGGCTGGGTTTGTGTTTCCAAGACCAGTTTGGGGTAAACTTCAGCCTAAGACCCCAGAACATCTACTAGATGTTTCACATCTAATGGATGTGAAATATTAGCATGGGGCCCTTGATCCACGAGGAATGGTCATTCAACTCTCCAGACATGTTACATTTTCTTATAGAAGCTGCCTTGATTTCCACTTACCCATTCCTGTGTCTTCTGAAACGACTTGACTTGATAGCTTTGAAGGCAAGCAGGCTGCAGCACACAGTATGCTTAGCATACCTACTAAGTGCTCAATACATGTGTTGACTCAGCAAAGGGTTCGCACAAAGAATTCAATTCAGCTGTCCCTAGTAGACAGTAAGCACTAGGGCAACTTTTACCTAGTCTGTTTTACAGATGAGAAACTCGAAGATGACGCTCAGGTTTCACAGATTTCCCTCTCCACCAGCCACCCCCTCCCCCTCGTATTTTATCAACCGGCCTCTAAGAAGGCAGTCCGGTATGTTGGCATCACTCACCGATCTCAATTTCTGACAAAGGAACATCCTCCCCCCACCCCAAACCCCACTTCCAAGAACAAGTGGTCCCCACGAACACTCAGGAGGGAGTCAGCGCTTCCAACAAAACCAGGAAGACCTCCAATTCCAAAGCAAACAAAAGTAGCTTCATTCTCCACCCAAGGGAAGGTGGTCACTAGACTCTGCTAAAGATAGAGGCTTGGACCCTCCCCGGGAACTTCCTGGCTTTTATTACTTTGTCACCCCACCCCCTCCCTCCCTACGTTAAGTTTTCAAAGCCCTTTCTTTGGAAATATGGGTGTGAAACTGCTTCCTAATCACGTTTTGCGGGAAAAGTTCTGCGAACATCTGTGTATTATTGGAAAACCTGGAATCCGGTTGGGTGGTTCCAGTGGGTGTGGGACCCCGCCCTGGTGAGATCAAACCGCAGGCACACGTTTAAAAACGCGTCGTGATCGCTTTTTTTTTTAAACAGAGGCAGAAAAATTAGGCGAAAATTACAAATGGCTAATTACCTTGGCTTAATTACACAGGTAATCAAAAGCCCGCCTCCCCGCCCCCACCCCCTTTAGCACAAAAGTAAGAGGGGAAAAATGGGAACGCTTAGAAGTCTCCACGATAAAGATCTTCCTTCTCAGCGAGAGCCTAGGACAAAACTCACTACAAGCCCAGCCCTCCCCCCAGCCCCCTGCCCCACCCTCGCCCCCCAGGCCTCCTAGGAGACTTAGGGAACTAGTAGTTCCCTCCCGGGGCAGCTTGGCTTTCACCCCGTGGGGTAAGAGCACTTCCTGCGCCGAGCGCCAGACCAGGCCCGGGTGCAGCCACCGTCTCCAAAAGGAATCGCGAATTGGTTAAACTCCGCCACGGATCCCTCACTGCTGGGGTGGGACTTGGGCTGGAATTTTGCAAGCTTGGGGATCAATATATCATCTTCCCCTTCTCTCATCTCCTCAGTGGTGGACTCCGCCAATGGAAGCGCGAAAGGGTGTGGGGGGGAGGAAGAGAAAGAAATTCCACGCAACCTGAGTGCAAAGGTCGCTGGGCTTTGTTCCCAAGTCCGAGAATGCGCCGGGCAGGGGGCGCGGGGCTGTGCGCCCCTCCGCGGCAATGCTCAGGCGGTCAGACCGATCAGGAAGTCTCCTCGCTCTAAAAAGACAGCTGGCCACTACCTCCCTCCTCTCCTCCCCCTCCCCCCGCCCAGGATTCAGGCCAGGCCATTCCCCCCCCTCCCCGCCCCCCCAAGTCCCGGATCCGTGAGCGACGCCGACAGGCGATTCCGCCAAACCCGCGGAGAGCGCAGCGTCTTTTAAGAGCTCGCACGACGGGAATCTGGCAAAGACGTGCCGGCCCCAGAAGGCAGTCGCCCCCCCCTCGCTCTCCAAAATCTGACCTGAGTCACTCCAGGGGCATCCAACGGCACCAGCAGAGCCCCAAACTCCAAAGGCCCGCCTTGGATGGCAGAGTAGTGCGACCCACTCCCCCTTCCCACCCCCACCCTCACCCTCCCCCCTCCGAGACCCGAGCGGAGCGTGGCCGCTTTAAGAGCGAGGAGCGCGCGCTCCCGCCACTGGCCGCCCCGGGCCGCGCGCCCCCAGCTCGCGCGCCCCCGTCGCCGCGCGTCCCCAGCTCGCTCGCTCGCTCGCTCGCCCGCTCGCTCGCCGGCTTTAAAGTCTCTGCCAGGATCCATGCTCACATGTTACTTCCTGTATGGAGGCATGGCCAGTTTCCAGCCCCGCGCTCCCGGTTTCTCCTCAGCCTGCGCCGGAGCCACAACTTTCGGGAGCATGGACTGAAGGCGCCCTCGCCTCAGCGCCCCTCTGAGAGCCTTTGTGTTTTCCTCGGTTTCCTCCGGCCGTTTCTCTGCGGTGGGGGGGCGCTTTCCGCGGCCCCCGTCTCTGCCCTCCCCTTCCCCGCTGGCAAACATGCCTCCTTCCTTCCCGGGGCCCTGGAAGGAGCTGCCCGCCTGAAGCCCGGAGACGCCGCGCCGCGCCGCGCCGCGCTCAGCCCCGCCGTCGCCCGCCGGCTCTCCGGCTGCGCTGCCGACTCAAGTTGGGGGATCGTCGGCTGCTAGCCGCCGCCTGCTAGCCGGTCCCTGCCGGCTCCGGGGCCGCGGGCACCGCCGCCGCCTGCTCGTCCTGCCCGCTCGGCTCGCCTGTGTTGGAACGGAAAGCAAGCCCTTCTCCGCCGCGAGGACCGGCCCCCCCAGCGTGGCCGGGCATCCCCGGCCACTTTTTCCTGGTCGAAGCTTTTTCCGGGAGGGGCGCTCGGCCGGCTTCCCGGGTTCCAGCGGGACTCTCGCCGCCGGGCGTGGGGGGGTGGGGAGGGAGGCCCCCCGTGCCCCCGGCGAGCAGGGGGTGGCGGAAAGCGCCCGGGCTGCGCGGAGCCTGTCGCACGGAAGCAAGAACTTATTCAACAAGTTTACCTCCCCCCCACACACCCCCTGCGTTCCTCTTTTCGATGTGCGTTTTCGGACATGCGGAGGTTACTGGAACCGTGTTGGTGGATTTTGTTCCTGAAAATCACCAGTTCTGTGCTCCATTATGTCGTGTGCTTCCCGGGTGAGTGCTTGCCGCTTGAGGGGACCCGGCTCCGGCCCGCGCGCGCGCGCGGGTGCGCGGGGTAGGGCAGAGTTTGTGGCTGGGGCGCGGAGCGTGGGCGCCAATCTTAGGGACCCCGGAGAGGGTGAAGGGGAGGGTCAAGGCGGGGTGGTGGTGGTGGGGGGCGAGAAGGGAAAGATCTGCTTCACTGCCTCTGGCAATATTTAGGGAGGCTGGTTGGTTTGGGGGGGGGAGAGTGGAAGCCAGGAAGGGCTGGCCGGGAAAGGGGGAAAGAGGGTTGGGTATTCCAGGGGTCTGCTACCACTGTGGGTTGGGGAGCTCTGGGGGCATTGGAGGCGGGAGGTAATGGGATTTGCCTTGCTAATCCGGCACCGATTGTGAGGGCTAGAGTTGTGGAGTGACTGGGGAGCTTGGATCCTTGGAGAGGATGCTTGTGTGTGTGTGTGTGTGTGTGTGTGTAGCGAGGTGGTGAGGTGTTGATGGTGGGGTCCCGGGGGTGGTCCCCTTGCTCTGGTAGGGATAGAAGGAGCTCTTGGCAGGCGGGGGGGGGGTGCTTTGCTTTGCAGCTCTCCGACAGACCCTTTGGGAAGGCTGGTGTTCGGGGATGGAAGCAGGAGGCTGGCCGCAGAGGATCGGGATGTGGGGAGCAGCTGGCATTCTGGTCTCGGGGAGGGGGTGGCGGGGGTGCCTCCTCCCACACCAGCTCAGGGCTGGGGGACCAGCTTCGCCTGGGTGCCAGGCTCCCGGGGCTGGGCTGGGGGTGGTGGGTCGCCTCCCTCAGCTCTCGGCCTCCTCTCTCCTCCTCTCTTGCTTGGTGGGGCTGCGGGGGTCGGGTCGGTGACTAGGTTTGTGGTTCGCGCCGGGGCGGATTCTCATTTTTATTTGAACCTCTCCTGTCTCCCGCGCCCTGCCTACCTTCATCTTTGCCCTTTTGCAGACTGTTCGCAGCTGACAGACCTAGACCGGTTCCTTTCTGATCAGGTTAAGACAGGAGCAATATTGGCCATGGACGACTGTAATAAATCACGGCACGTAACGGTGTTGTAGCTCGGCGACCCTCCACTTCCCAGCCGGCAGCCGGCACACCCTCCCACCCCGACCCCCGCGAGGGCAGAGGCCGGCCGAGCCTCGCTCGCTCTCGCCTAGTGCGGGGCTCCGCGGGGAGGGCTTCCCCCCCCCCCCCCACAACTCCCTCGAAGCTGTTCAGCCCCCTTCCCCGGGGATGGAGGCCACATTCTCTGCCCTAGCTTAGGGAAAAGGGTGGAAAAATGGGGGTGCCTTTCTTCCCTGACTCCTAGGAGGACAGGAGAATCCCCTGTTTTGGGTCCCCCCCCCCCGCTTTCTCATTCACCACTTCTTGGATACTTGCAGGTGAGGGTTATCGGAATCTGGGGGGGGGGGAAGGAACGTTTCCCCGATGTTTCTTCTTTCCCTGATTCACCGCCGCCTGCCCCCCCCCCCCGCCCTCGGGCCGCCAGGGCGCGGGGATTTGGTGCAGCGGTTCCCCAGCCTGGTCGTGCGCCTGGGCGCGCGGTGCTGGCGCCCTTGCAACCCTCTCAGGAGCTGGTTCCTGGGGAAGGAGGAATGGAGGAGGGGGGGGTTTGAGACTGTCCATAAGAGCCCTCTTCTCCGTTTCGAGGGTGATCTGGGGGGACACAGGTCTTTTCCTGGGCACCCCTCTTTTCTCTCTGCGCATCCTCCGGTGCCCAGCACGGCGCCGACGTCTCTGGTCAGCGTCCTGAAACCCAGCTCCCCGGACCCGAGCGAGGAGGACGTGTCCACACTTCTTCCCAGGAGGCCTGGGGTTGGCCCACCCAGGGTTCCGGCTTCCGTGGGATCATCGGGGTGGAGAGGCATCTCCCCTGAAAAACAGCTACCCCTCTCCCCGATCCAGACCACCGTTAAGGATTTGCACCACCGCCCCCATCCCACCGGCTAGGCTCCCATCTTGGCTTCGGAGTGGCCTGCTGTGTGTCCAGGTGCACCCCGGGCCTTTGTGAGGGTCACTGTTTTAACCGGGGCCGTGGGAGGTGGCGAAGGGCAATCTTGCGAAACACTTCATTTCCAATTTCCAAGGCTGGCCGCCTTCCTGGGGATGCGTACAGTTGCCAGCCGTGATGTTCTTTTCCCTGGTGTCTGAGAAAGCTTGAGATAAAACAAGAAAAGGAAAAGGAAATGGGATGGGTAAGGTTGGGACGCGGTTTCTCGCTCTCCTTTTCCTTACCTGCCACGCTGCAAGCCAGAGCTCCCCCGAGAGCCTGGGGACATGGGGCAGAAGGGACAGCGAATGGACGGAGGCCCCCGGGAAGACGGGGTTGGGAGTGTGGAAGGGAAGGAGCAGGGTTTCATCGTCAGTTTTGGCGGCAGGCGAAGTTAACCACGTCGCACACAGCCTTGGGAGGTTCGGGCTTTCGGTTTTCCGAGGTTGCTGTGACGCGGCTGGACCTCAGGGGGCGCCCCGAGCCACTCGTCAAGCTCTGGCCACCTCCTCTCTACGGAGGAGGGAGAGAGGAGAGAGAGAGAGAGGAGAGAGAGAGCACAGGTTCAGAGATGGGCGGGAGGGGGCAAGGGGGCGCAGCATCCATCTCCACCCAGTGAAGAGACGATGCTCACGGCTCTGGCGCTGCTGGTCGGCTGGAAATTGGAAGGGGGGGGTGGCTGGAGTTCGTGTTGGGACCCCTCACACACACACACACACACACACACACACACACACACACACACACACACACCACATCACTTGGGAAGCTTTCACAGATTCAAAATGAGGGATTAAAAAAAATTCTCATTTTGGATTAGGGGGGCCCTCCTTTGTGTGCTCTTCACCCCAAAGCTCGTGTTACTTTGGTTACTCAGAATAACCCCACTTTCTCAGTTGTATTTTAGTTTCCACTTTCTGTTGTAGACCACAGGGTCTCCCTCATCTGGGGAGGGCACGGGGAAACATCTAGCAGAAGTCTCCTTCTCCCCCCTCCCCCCCCTCGTGAATCAGAAACAGCAATTTGTTTGTTTGGTGCCGGTACTGAGGTTTAAACTCAGGGCTAGGGCGCTACTACTTGAGCGACAGCTCCAGTTCTGACTTCTTGGTGGTTAATTGTAGATGGGTCTCCCCACTTTCCTATCCAGGATCCTCACAATCACACCCTCCTGAGTAGCTAGGATTCAAGACATGAACCACTGCCACTCACAGCTGAGTTTTTCAGTTTTACAACAGCAGTTCAGCTGAGGTGAGATCACATGTTATTTATATATTTATTTATTTATGTATTTATTTATTGCCAGTATGGAGGCTTGAATCAAAGCAGAGTGGTTGTCAAACATGATAGTGACCACCTTTCTTTCTTATTAAAGATGTTCTTAAAAAGTTGTTGTTAATAATATACACGGACAGAAGAATATAAGGGACCCCTCCATGTTTCCCACTCAGCTCCAGACTCAGTTTATTTTCATCCGTGTCCCCCTCTCTTCCCAGCATCCTCAACAAATGTAATTTTAAAGCAAAATTCATTTTAATATTTAGTCTGTAGCTCCAGTCTTTGGGAAACCAGTGGCCTCTTACAGGATGTAAAAATACGTTACTCAAAAAGGGTGTTATCTATTTTAAAATTCTCTAGCTATTCAGAAATTTTAAGTAAAAAGAAAGTATCGCTTTTCTTTCGGCCCTCAAGAGTGAAACTTCTTTGGTTCTGAAGTTTTGTGTGGCAATTTGATTCCTTCTAGGCTTCGGCAGTAGGAAGCTGTGTTGTACCTTGGATGGACAGAGAATCCTGACTCTCCTAAGCAGGCTTTTTCCATATTTGCCTGTGCATGGCTTTTATTCCGATGAGCATCTCTCAAGACTTTCTTAGGGAAAGGTAGAGGTAATATTTGCAAGTCTACAGTCTAATTCTCAGAAGTGTGATGAGAAATCATAACAGTTTGCCTCCCTCCCACCCCCATCCCTAGGGTGTCTGGTTTTGAAAAGATTTTTTCCTAGCTTCTACACTGGGTCCCTTTGATTAGGGTTATGGAATTAAAACCTTTGATGTGCCTGTTTCCTTATAGATTGGAGTGGATGAAGTTAGGACTTGAATATAAGGCATAACAGGATCAATGCATAGTGAGGAAGAAGGGTCCTAGGAAAGCTGTAATGCCTAAACACTGCAGTCTTCCCCCCTTCCCCCAATACAGCTTGAGCAAGTCCCTGTTTTCCCTGACTACAAGATTATATTGTTGTTTACATGAAGTTCTCCAGGGAAATGCTGACGACTTAATGCTATGAAACCAAGCAAAAAACCTTTTAGATTTACGTTTCTCTTTTTCTCAAAACATTCCTCAGTTAACAGAATATCCATGCACCAATTGCAAGGGACTTTCCTGTTCATATCAGACCATTTCAAATGCTCCTGCATAATCATGATTAGGGAAGCCCTTTTCCCTCATTTCTCCCTCCCTTTAACCTCCGTTTTTCCTGGCATCTGAACCAAAGGAACAATCTAGGCACCTTGGTCTTGCCTAGGTGAGGAAGGTCTATAGTACTGCTAATGGGTAGTTGATTTAACATTTCTCTTTACCCATGAAAGATGGTGGTGACTTGAGATGGGGTTTCAACTATGCTCTTTGCTGCAGGCCAGCTCTGTACTCTGTGTCACCCAGGCTAGCTTTGTACTCAGTGTGAGGCTGGCTGGCATTTTCCATCTTTGCCTTCACATTCACGGTGATTGGATGACTGGTGTGTGCATGCCCGGCTTGGTAGTGGTAATCTTCAACCAGGTCTTCCTGGTTTAAGATGAAACTCAGCTTTTCCACCCACAGCTTGTGGGACAGTGCGATGCCAGTTCTAGGTAGGATGAAGATGATTTCGTGTGCATTTGGAATAGGGAGATGAAAAAAAATAGCAATTGCACTTTCATCTCTGGTGCTCATCTCTCTTGTGGCCACACGTGGTAATCTAAAGCTTATGGGGGAAAATGAGCGCACCTAAGGTTGTACCCTGAAGTACCTGATGCTGGCCAGTATCT